CTCTCTCCTCCCCCCCCTCCTTCCCGACCCCCTTCCCCCAACCGAGTCAGAATTTCAGTACTCTACAGAGACCAAGTTCTATTTACAAAGGAATGAGTCACGAAACTATCAGCTTTCGTGGCGAGATGGTTTGGCTCTTGCACGTAGATAGAGCACACAAGGTTAACATCTCGCGTGAGCAGGATCATTTGTCCAGTATCCTCTGTCTGCACGCAGTTTCGCGTGAGAAAAAAAAAAGGATTTAGTACTTTTCTGAGTGTCGGGGTCTGAGTACGGGTGTCCGTTTACGTGTTGGAAAGTGCATAAAATATTAATATAGTAGCTGCCCCCCCTTTCGATGAAAGAAATGATCGGTGCATTACCATCAACTGAAAGTCATTGGCCTACTATATTTACACTCTACTGGAATGGAAGAATAAATCTTGAGAGATTAAAAAAATCAGGTCTAGATCTATGCGCCTCGCGAAATACCCCTTCCGGCACTTCCGCTGTGAAGGACAGCTATGCAGATTTGTTTCGTTTCTCAATGGAATAACCACAAAGGCCAAAGAAGGACGGGAACATTTTGTCAAATATATTTGTCTAAATTCAAGAAGTGAATAAATAAAAAATCGGGCTCCGTCACAGGGACCTATTTATCTTTTTTCAGGTACAAGCCAACTTTCAACTCTGCAGCTGTCGTAGTGTTATGGGAAAACTGACACATATGTTTCCAATTTTGCCAAATATTTAATAGATATTCTTCATTTTCTAGTATTGCTCACGGATTTGCAAATGCTAAGAACAGTTGTGAACATAAACTTCCAAGACCGGATTTGCAAATGATAATGAGAAAAAGCCAATATGTCAATTGTAGATTTATCCATTACATTAGTAAGCTATTGATCGTGATTTTATTGAATGCAGAAGAATGTGTGTGAAGGGTTTGGATAAAAATGGGGGGTTGGATGTTGCTTGGTGAATACCCACCATCTTGGCCCGCCGTATGGGTAGAGTCTGTTTTTTGGTTATGAAAAATTAACCGCTATGATCCAGTATCTTCTTCTGTTTGCGCTGAGTTATGTACAAATACTTGTACAATGCACAAATACATGTACATCGCAGTGGGTAGTTGGCGAGTGTCGTTTGCTCCTTATTTCATGTCAAACGTTTATCGTCTGAGTCTCTTCTCCGTCGTTTTTGTGTTTGTTACCCTCTTCTCTTGTAATCTTCGGCTTTTATATGATCATATTGTGTTGCAAGTGCTGTAAACACTTACTTACCCCC